GCGCCCCGCCCCGCGGTGGGCGGGGAGAGCAGAGCCCCAGCTCTCGGGAAGCGGGGGTCCCGGTCCCAGGCTTAGGGAACAACGCCGCGCCTGGTGGCCTGCAAGGAGGTGGCAGCCCCGCGCCTCTCTCCACGCCTCACACGTGGTGATGGTGCTGGCTGAACTCAGGAAGGGGGCTGTGACCTGCCGACCCCAGGAACCGCTTCCCAGTGGGGGCCCGACCCTTCGCGGCAGGGGTCACTGCCCTAGGGCGGGCCAGCAGGGTCTCAGCTGCAGCATCTATCAAATGGGCTGGTAATTCCTGACATTTTTCCCCTTTCGTCTGAACAGAAATCACCCCGTGGCCAGAGGCGCCAGGTACCAGGGATGAAGCTCCTGTCTTGTTGGTGCTTCCAGAGTGAGCGTGAACACATTTGTGCATCCCAGGCCAGGTAGGGCAGAGTCACTGCAGACGGGAAGAGTGTGACACGCGCCCCACTCTCCCACTCCCACCCAACCCTCCTGGGTAGATCCATACGACAGACACCCCTGGCTCCCCCCAGTATGTTTCTTAAGCACTTAGCCAGTGTCCACACACCTATTCTGACCAGTCAGGGCACTACAGCGCCCAAAGCAAAACTCCCCACCCCACCCCTACCTCCAGGGAACCTACGCTCTGGCGGAAGGAGACGACAAATAAGCATAGTAAATTCATAACGAGATCTTAAAGTGGTCTCTGCTACAGGAAAGCATGTACAAAAGGGAATCTGGGAAAATCATTCTTCAAAAACATGAGAATCTGACCCACATCCAAGGCTCCAGCTCGGTTCTTGAGAGTATATTATTCCTACCCCTGAAACAATGATACACCTGAGAAGTGGGTGCTAAACTGGCAGTTAGAGAGGTCAAGGGCCCCTCCCAAGGTCACCAGCAGCAGGCAGTCCAGTGGGAACTGAAACTCCCAGAGGGAAAGGAAGCCAAGTACATATAGTCAAGATGGAGAAACCTCAGAACCTGGAACACCTACTCCTACCTATATGGCGCTTCTTTCCCAGTATTTATTTTGAGACAGGATCTCACTAGGTAGCCCAGGCTGGCCCCAAACTCATGGCAATCCTCCTGCCTCAGCTCCGGGACACTGGGATGACAGACATGAGCCACCACAGCCAGCCTCCAAGCCTGATTTTTTTTTTTAAGATACCAGGAATTGAACTCAGGACCCTGCGCTTGCCAGGCAAGCAGTTATTTTACTGAGCTATCTCCCCAACCCCAAGCCTGAGAATTGCCAGCAGGTGGATTCAGGAAGCAGGTAGCAGAGGCCTGTCACCCCTCCCCCAGGCCACAGTGCACCTAAGTAAGAAGGAGACAATAGAGAAATCCTGGATCAAGGGTAAGGAACAACAGCAAAAAAAGGGTAAGGAACTGGGGCAAGGGAGATGGCTCAGTAGAATAAGCGCTTCCCTAGCAAGTGCAAAGGCCTGAGTTCAATCCCTGGTTCCACAAAAAAAATAAATAAATAAACAAATAAATAAAAATAAAGGGGTAAGGAACAATCTACTGCTTAGTCACTCTGAAGTTCTAGGGTTGGTGGCTCCATCTCCTTGGTTCTCCTTTTCCTCTTCTTCAAGAGTTAATAGAGGGGCCGGGGAGATGGCTCAGTGGAATAAGTGCTTCCCTGGCAAGTGCAAGGGCCTGAGTTCAATTCCCAATTTTTTTTTCTAAAAAAAAAGTTAATAGAATACCACATCTGCCTTATAGGGGCATTGAGAAGATGAAATGACCCTGATGTGTTAATTGGTGCTGTGTCAATGCTAGCTGTTGGCCTTAGTGTTCCCGTCCATACAATGGGACTGTGTTCAGCCCTGCAGTAACTTTGTTAACCCAGGGATTTCTGAGCAAGCAAAAGCAACCCCGGCAGATGCTGTGTAGAATAGATCTTGGGGCCCAGTGAAGTGGGCTGGTACTCTTCATTCTGCTCCTTGTTCTGTGATATTGGTGAAGATTCCTCAATTCTCTGCTGCTAGGAAATCAGAGTGCTGTGGATGTGACTGGTATTTAAACTTTTGGTTTAAAAAAAAAAAAAAAAGTACCTGATAAATTTTAGCTTTGTTAAAAAAAAAAAAAACTGGCATAGAATGGAATGGAATATGTCATTTGTTTCAGATTTTTCTGTAATGAATGATGTCTTCTATTTTTATAAAGAAAATGTGATGTTAATTTTAACATTTGCTCTCCATGGGTGATAGATCCAGGGATGTTATTTTAAAATCTGTACTTAGGAACGGGCGAGATAGCTCAGTGGCATGAGCACCTGCCTCACAAGCTCAAAGTCCGGCGTTCAATGCCCCGCTACCACAAAAAAATTAAATTAATACATATCTTTTAAAAATCTGTATTTAGCTAGTTAAAAAAAAAAAAAAAAAAAAAAAAAAAAAGATTGGTTCAGGGTCGTGGTGCCCCCTTGTGGCCACATTTATTATTTTGAACTTGAGGCCTCTGGAAGCTCCGTTTGTTAAATTCTGCCTTGAAATAGCGAAGTCCTGGACTTCCTTAACATTTCAGAGTTGACAGTGACTTTCAAGAATGGCCATTGAGGGGCCGGGGAGATGGCTCAGTAGAATAAGCGCTTGCCTGTTGCTTCTGTCTCTGGAGGAAGTGTGTGTGACAAGACAGCTGACTCTCAGGAAACCTGGGCACCAGCTCGATAGATAGTATAGAAGCTGTAACAGTAATTAAAAAAAACAAACAAACAAACAAAAAACGGGAATCAAACTGAGGATCTTGGGCTCGCCAGGCAGGCACTGTACCACTGAGCTACATCCCCCGCTCCCTCTAACAGTAATTTATTTAGATCTTACCAGATGCCAGACACAGTCCCAAGCACTCTCTGCGCGTAATTCATGGAATCCTCGCTGATTCTGGGAGTGAGACAGGTGTCACCAGTGGTACTGTTTTACACAGGGAAAAGCCTAGCGTTGCACACGTTATGGGACCTGCTTAGAAACACAAACAGAAGGGCCCAGCTGGGATTTGAAGCTGGGCAATCCAGGCTTCTCCGGAGACTTGAAGCAGGGGAAGAAAGCCGGCTGATAGCTGGCTTCATCCAGGCAAACAAGGTGGAAGGCCAGCAGTGATGACCGAGCCACCCAGAGAGGGACCCGCCTTCACGTGCTGGTGGGCTTGCTAGTCCCATGTACGGATTTTAGGGCCCTCCACCTCGTGGAGAGGGGCAGATGGGCTGCAGTTTTGTTCCTGGGCTCTCTTGGTGGCTCAGTTTGAGCTTTGGGAAGATAAAATCAGAAGTCACGACACATACACATCCCTCTACTAGAAATACTTCTGAACTCCGCATTCTTCAAATGTGGTCCCCCCCCCCACTCTTACACCCAATCAGCAGCACCTCTCCCGTGTGGCCACGCCTCCCTCACGAGGCCCCGCCCCTCCAGCCCCAGCGCGGTCTCTGAACTTGCTGGTCTCCTCACTCCCCTTCCTCCTGCCCTTCGCAAATCTCGCTGAAATTCGGCTCGCTGCAAAATCCGAGCACCGCTTAGCATTCCAGGCCTGCCATCACCCCTCGCTGCTCCTTCTGCCCAGTCCTGGTTAATTTGTGGATCTGCATCCTGCCTCATTTCCACATGCAGGATGGAGGATGGGGGTACTCCTGTCACCGGGGCAGCGCTCAGGAGGGGCTCAGAGGTGCAACACTGAGGACCCCTAGTGGCTCAGTGTTGTTATTTTGACGCCATGCTGAAGTGTCCAGAGGCATGGAGGACCTGTGAGCCTCTGTGAGTTACCTGTGCTTCTAGGGCCTGTTTCTCACTCTGTAAAACAAACGTGAAAGGCTCACTCCATTGCGGACTTAGGATCGCTGGTGTCCCTCAGCATGCATGGGTCCAGGGCCAGACTGCCCGGGATTCATTTTTAAACTGCAGAACCCTAGGGAAAAAAGGACTCAACCCTGGGCACCTCAGCCCTTCATCTGCAAAATGAGGGCCACATCGCCAAGTGGCCTGAGGACAAGGGGAGTTTGCTTATGTACAGTACTGAGTACAGGTTCCAACCTTATATTAATTTATAGCAGATGGAGTTTTATATTTCCACCATGAGAGAGGTCAGCCCAAGGGACCATGGTTCAAAACCCAGCTCTGAGGTCCACAGCACACAGGAGGTCAGCAATGAGCACCCGTGGGAAAAATGGGAGCTGGGCAACAGAAGTAGGGCATCGTGGCAGTGCACCAGGGCAGAACAACACAGGGCACCCTGTGGGGTGGCACCAGGGTGGCAGCTGCTCCCTAACTGCCCAGGCCAGCAGAGCCCAACAACAGGGAAGCAGACACCGGCTTTGAAGGCATTTATTCGTGAGAAGACTCGGGATCCTTCAGGGGCATCTACTGGTTACAAGCTCTACAGAAGCTCTTGTCCATGGGAAGCGCCAAGGGGCTGGGTACCCCTGGGTAGGGGTGGGGGCCGCCATCGTCCTGGGCACACATACAAGAGCAGTGTGGGCAGTTTGGGGACAGGAGGAGCTTCACCACCTGCCCACCCACCCTGGCCCGGGTCCCACACCCCTCTAGGTTTAAAGTGCAGCTGGGTAGGGAGCAGGATTGAGGAGCTAAAGAGCTGAGGTCACCACGGGTCACCCACAGGGGCCACCCTGCCCCGAAGTTCCTAGAGGCTCAGCCAGCATCCACTCTGGTCCTGCTTGGACCCTCTTGTAGGGAGACTACCCCATCAGCCCCAGACATTTAGCAAGACCTTCCCCTGGCCCTGGAAGCTCTTTGAGGGACCTTGAAGCAGGGGCAGTAGGACGCACTGCAGTGTCCATGAGGGAGGGATCCTCTTCTGGGAGAGGTTCACCCCAAACTCAGACCCCAGGAAGGCTTCTGGCCACTGTCCCCAACATGAAGCAAGCCAAGAAAGCCAGAGCAAAGCCCAGAAGGCCTGGCCCTAGCCCTAGTGCCGAGTCAGCAGGGTCCTGCCCGACCTGACTCCCAAAACACTCCATTGGGTGAGGGGCACTTCGTGCCCAGGGTAGATGCGTGTCTGGAGATGGGGTGCCCAGGGAAGGCCTGTAGGGCAACCTCTGGGGGCTGGAGCTCTGGCTTCTGACAGTGGTCTTCCTCGCCTGCTCCTCCTGCCAGGCTGATGCTGGCATGGTGCCACCCTTAGCTCAGGGCCCCTGGCTGCACCATCTGGCCGCACCCCTGGGGATCCTGCCCCAGCAGGGGCTGGGCGGGCCTTGGCCTGCACCTGCCGTCTTGGAAGGCCTCCCCCATGCCTCAGCAGCTTCGTTGACCTCCTCCCCCTCCCAAGGACACACCTCTATGAGGCAGAAAGGAAAGACCTCCCCCCTTCCAAAAAGAGCCCTGAAGACTTCTACCTCCTCCCCCCACTCTCCAATATATTAAATTGTGACGCTTGGCTCCAACCCCTCCCCGGGAGGTCTCCACGGCAACCAGACAGCATTCCAAGTCCAAGTCTGAATCCGAGTTCATCCAGTGCCAGGGGATCTTCCGCCTCTCCCCTCACTCTGCCCCAGAGGGTGAGACCCAGCATTCCAGGGGGGCCGTGGAGAGGAGGAGAAGAGTGGGGGCCTCAGTCCTCAGCCCCCTCTTCTTCAACATGGGGAGCCCCGGGAGTCTCCTGGGGCTCAGGGCTCTGCCCACCAGGGTGGGGGTGAGGGTGGGAGTGGGGGTGGGCGCCCGGCTGCGAGCCTGGTCCATCCTCGGCCTGCACATAGACATTCAGCCCCTCGTGGCTGGGCTCCTTGCCGCAGGCCTGGCAGCTGCAGTGCAGGATCTTCTCCACCAGCTTGTCCACCCGGGGCATCACCTCCTGGCCAGGGCACTCCAAGGTCACCTGGGGTGGGCAGAAGGGAGGGGAAGAGCATGCTTAGCCTTGGGCAGTGTGGGAAGGCTAGAAGTAACACACACAATCACCTGATTAGCTCTGGGGAAACTCCCAAGGGGCCAAGCCATTACAGGGGCCCCCAGACTTGGCCCCTCACACCCAGGCCTGCCCCCTGTGTGCACCCCACAGCAGCCATGGGGTAGCCTGGGGGGAGCAGCAGCACTTGCTCTGCTTAACAGAAAAGCAGGCCCCTTCCTTGGCCACCTAGAACCTTCGGGCTGGCCACAGCTGCCCCATACCCTGAACCCTGGGTCTCTCCCCTAGCTCTCTGCCCCTTATCTGCCTCAGGGACTTGGCACATACTGTTCTTTCTGGCTGGTAGGTTCTTCTCAATCCATCCCCAACCTCTGGCCCTAACCTCACCTCTGGGCAACCTTTCGGGCAACCCCAGCCGAGAGGCCTCCTGAGGAGCCACGCTAGCATCCTACCTCCCTCTTCTGGTCACACTTCTAACTGCCCTTCTCTGTCTGCAGGTTTCTCTCCCTCCTTCCTTCCACAGAGCACTGGCTCCATGCCAGCCCTTGGGACAGGACAGGCAGGATCTCTCAAAGAAACCAACTGGCCATAATCACCCTGATGTGCTCAGAAGACAGATGATCAAGAGAGAGGCCTACAGTGCGCAGGGAGGCAATAGTACAGGCGTTTGACGCAGACAGGAAAGGAACATGATGCTTGATCCAAGAGCAAAAGAATACAGGGGGGAAGCAGGGGAAAGAACATGGGCAGAGGCCCGTGGGGTGGAAGGGAGCAGAGCGTGTAGAAGGGGCTCAAAGGAGGCAAACTGGGGTCAGGTGTCAAACTGGTAAGGATGGCAGTAGGCTGGAAGCAGCCATCGAAAGAATTTCAGTAACGAGTGGGGTCTTTGTCCTGTACAGGCTGGCATCAGACTTGCAACCCATCCTATGGCAAGAACCATGCATGTGCCCCGCACTGGCACCTGGTGAGATCCGACTCAGCACCCACACCAGGGCTGGGGGTGCCATACTCACAATCTCCCACATAGTCTGGGCTGGCATGCAGGAGTCACAGTGCACTAGGGACTCTGTGGACTGCGGGAAGGTGTTGGGGACGCTGTAGCTGAAGCACTGTCCTAGGCACGCCCTGCGGGAGGAGAGGTCGCCGTGCTGTGTCACCACGGCGGAGGCAGGGCTGGGCAGCCCAGGAGCCCTTGCGCTCTGCGCCCTCTGTCCCACCTGTTCTGGATGGCCTTGGCCTCGCAGCCGCTGTGGCCCACGATCTGGGTGATGTTCTTGGCTTCGCACCAGGCGCTCTTGTCCGGGAACAGCGCCAACTTGTTGATGGGTGGGGGCGCAGCCAGCAGCAGGGCAGGGAGCACAGCGCCCACCAGGACCCGGAGCATCATGCCTGTGGCCTCCAGAGCCCTAGAACTGAGCGGGGCCGCGTGAGTCTGAGAGGCGGCCTGGACCCAGGTATCAGCGTGGACCATGGCATCTTGACCCTGTGTTCCAAGCCAGCCTCCTGCCCCCGTAACCAAGGACACCTTTACCTCTGAGACCGAGGACAAGGTGTTTCTCTCTGAACCTTGAAAAGGGAGCTGTGGATGCTGGGGAGGGGGAGCTTGGTGAGAAAGCACTTGCCTGGCATGCAGAAAGCCCCAGGCTCAATCCTCAGCACAGGGTTTCAAAAGCAAACATTGGGTTAAACAGCACTGCAACACACGGGCATTAGAAAGATTAAATGAAGTGCTGGTGAGCCTGGAAGAACAGGCACGCTCCAAATATCTTAGATTTTTGGTTGGTGTGTCTTTTGTTGTTATTGTCTTTTTGAGACAGGGTCTCGCTATGCAGTTCAGGCTGGCCTTGAGCTCACTTTGTAGCCCAGGCTGATCTTGGACTCACAGTGATCCTCTGGACTCAGCCTCCTGAGTGCTGAGATTACAAGTGTGCACCACCATGGCTGGCTTGTTTGTAGATTGCTTTGTCTGTGGTATGAGGGATCGAACTCTGGACCTTGCGCTGCCAGGCGGGTGCTTAGGCCATTGAGCTATACCCCGGGCCCTTGTTTGTGTTTTTGTGGAGTTGATTTGCATGCTTTATTCTGGGGATTGAACCCAGGGTCTTCCATGTGCCAGGCAAGGCTCTACCACCAAGCTATATCCCCAGCCCCTTTTCTTTTGTTATCAGTACTGGGGATTGAAGCCAGGGCCTTTGCACTGAGCTACAACCGCAGTCCTATTTTTATTTTGAGACAGGGTCTCATTGGTTAAATTGCTTAGGCTAGGCTCAAACTTGAGAACCTCCTGCCCCAGTCTTCCAGAGTACTGAGATCACAGGTGGGCACCACCATGCCAGCTGTGAATCGGGCACTTCTGTAACTCCCTCTGTAGCCCTGAGCAAGTTGTCATTTATCTCTGCACCTTGGTCTCTTCCTGCATGACAGGATTGCTGCAACAACTACACCAGTGTCCGGATGCTCCTGAAGAGTTGAACAGGCCTTAGCTCCCTTCACTTTGCTGCTGCCCACAGGGAGCAAACAATTAGTAAAGCCCGCCCACCCACCTGCCAGCTCTCCTCGAAAGTCACTGTCACATCAGGAGCCTGATGCAGAAGCATCTAAACTCAGCCTTCATCTCGTGGTGAATTCTGCCTTCCCAGCCAGACGTATTTCTTCCTAAGATGACCTGCCAGAGACTCCAGCCCAGCGGGCCTCTACTCTCTACAAAGCCAAGCAGCAAAAGTTTGGAAATTTCCCCGATGAAGGCATAACTGTAATACCTGGATCTGCCAGAAAGTGGCGCTGCAGGACAGTCTGTGTCTAAAGGCTTTGCTCACAGCGGGTTCCCCTTTCTCCTCCATAGATTTCACCCACTTTCCCACCACTAAAAGGAGTGGAAAGGGGCTTGAAAAAGACTCAGAAATAAGGGAAGTGCCTGGAAGTGGGGGTTCCCCATCCTGTCTGGACACTGGGAAGAAGGTAATGGATACACCTGTTGTGTTATCCTGGATACAGGCCTCAGTGTTCCCACCCACAAAATGAGAGATGGCCTACCCTACACAGTAGTTTCTGAGCCTGTTAATACACTGGAATTCCCTGAGAACTTGTGGGGTGCAAACTCCTGCAATATTGGGGGATTGAACCCAGGACCTTTGCACTGAGCTACAGCCCCATCCCCACCTCTGTTTTTTCTGTGTGTGTGTGTGTGTGTGTGTGTGTGTGTGTGTGTGTGTGTGACTGAGAGTGTGTTAACGTACAGTCTCTCTCAGTTGTCCAGGCTAGGCTTCAGTGTTCAATCTTCGTGCCTCAGCCTCCCAGAGTGCTGAGATTTCAGGCATGTGCCAACACTCCCACCTGAATTTCAGCACTACTACCAAGCTTCCTGGGATGGTTCTGACAGCCATCAGAATCATTCTGACTGATGGTGTGGGACTGTGCCCCAGGAGGGGTCAGAGTGAGGCTGAAGCCAGGCTTGAGGAATCAAGGACAGGTCCCACAGAAGCACAGCGCCAGGGTGGGGATGGCCTAGGACCAGGCTGCCCATGCCAAACAGCTGGGCCACTTTCTGCAGAGAGCAAGTACTGTTGGCCTCTGTAAGCTGTCCAGGGAGGGGACGGTGAGGGGCGTCGAGTCTGCCTAGCAGTGGGGATCTGGGTGGGCCAGCTGGGCCAGGCTTCAAGAAGTACGTGGCCACCTGCAGGCCCAAGAGACACATCCGGAAGCCCCCTGGGCTCCTGCCCCTCTCCCTACAGAGACCTCAGCTCCCTGGGGATGACCCTGACACTGGGCCAGCAGGAAGAGGAGCTGCTGGAGGGGAGGTCGGATGTCCCCACTGCCACGCCGAGTTCTTGCCATGACCCAGGCTCGCACACACATCTCCAGCCTCACTCACAAGACCCATGGCTATGACACGCTCGTTTCTCTCAGGGTCACATGAATCCCTCGCCTTTTACAAGACCCACGGTGAAGCCCATGTTTTTAGCACGACCACATCCCACCAAACGGAAGGGACAGCTTCCTGCCTGGCAGCACGACTGCTCTCCAACGAGAGTGGCCTCCAGGGGCTGACAGGTCCTCTGGCCTCCTGGCCCGCGCTGACCGAGCTGGCATGCTGGATCTCAGCGCGGTCTCTGCTCTCTACGGACCTCGTCACCTTTCCCAGGGAGAAACAGGTCAGCTGCGGCCAGAGAGGTGACCAGGGCAGGCAATGAGGCCAAGGTCGCTGTAGGATTTGGGGTTGAGGCTGGGGCTGGAATGAAAGCAGCCCCAGGTAATAGTAGAGTGAAGTTTGAAAGAAGCTGAAGAAAAATGAGCCAACCAGAGGCAGAAGGCAGCCTGGTGGACTGCGTGTACAAGGGCCCGTCACAACCCACCTTTCTGCATCCAAAACACAGCACCCATCTCAAGAAGGACCCAGCAGCACCCAATAGCCCTCCTGTGGGGTCAGCCCTGCCCCCCAGGGGGCGCATGGGAAAGGCCAGCTGCAGCAGAGACAGTCAGGGTGAGCGAGCTGCCCTCACACAGGTGGTGGGAGAGACACACCCACCTCCTCCTGACCTCTTGCCCTGCCCAGAAGGACACACACTGTCCCCACCAATGAGTAGGATCTTTGCTAGCAGGTTTTATTTTTTTTGTACTTGGTGGCGGTGGTGTATGCTTTTTGTTTTTTTAACTAGCAGCTCTGCTTTTTTTTTTAAGCAGCAGTCAGACCTTCCTTCCTGAGCCAGGAGAGCCTCGCCCGGATTCTCAACCCTTCCTCCCCACCCTGAAGGTCACACAGCAAGTCGTGGGACTCCCAGAGTACCAGGGTGGGAAGGGAGTCAGTGACCTCCCAGGCCAACATCCCAGGCTCTTCCCAGGCGGGTTGAGCAGAGCCAGGCCCTTCTCTGGCCACTCCGTGGCCTGCAGGCGGATGCCCCTTTCGGAGTAACTCTCAGAATGCAGGCCTGGGGAAGGATAGGAGAGGGCCCAGCTCAGGAACAGCAGAGGGCCCAAGGCTCTGGCTCTGCACCCTCCCACATAGGAGCTCAGAGTCCAACGGGGGCCCAGGGCAATGGGTGAAGCGGAAGCAGCTGTTTTGGAAAGGGACAGTTGGAAATGGGTGTGCAGAGGTCCTGTGAGCCCCCACATGACAAAGGCCAGGGGAAGCCACGGCAGCTGCCAGCCTGCACACCCTCCCAGCCTTCCAGCCCAAGGGAAGAGCTGGTCCTAACCCCAGACTCCTGCTGCTGCCTCAAGTGCTGCTCACTGTGTTCATCACCTAAATCCTTCCAGTAACCCTGCGGGGCGGATCCTCTCATTTCCCCAGTGCCCAGATGAAGAAATGGAGGTACCGAGAGGCTGAGATCTGAGAAGGTCACCCCATTACTCACCAGGAGAACTGAGCTTCAACCCTGGACAGCAGTAGGTGTGCTGCCGGTTATCCTAGCACAGGACAGTGTCACAGAGGAAAAAGGAGAGACGCACATAGGACGGTGGCAGAATGGGACCCGTGCTCCTGCGTGGCTGTCTCCCTCCTACTAGCATCCTGCACTTCCCCGCTGCCCAGCCTGGAACTGGGAAGCCCCCCCAGATGACTGAATCCTCCTCCTGGCTAGCAACAGACAAGCACATGCCCAGGGCAGACCCTTGCTGCTTGGAGTCTCAGTAATGACATGAAGCTATCCTTTGCCCCACGGGGCTGCTGTGCAGATGGGTGCCACAGGCTCAGCCACATCCACCCACCCGGCACTCCCAGGTCCATGACAAGTCCTCAGAAGCCTCCTGAAACTCATTCTTTCACACAGCAAGGAAATCCCCAAGGGGTGACACCATGGAAACTGAGGCATGTGTAAAGAAAGTATCGGACTCTGGGAAGAGAATACAGAGCAGGCAGTGGATGAGGCCCAATGGTTTCCCACGGGCACTTTTCCTCAGAAGGTGTCTCAGGGAAGCCAGGGAGGTGGGACATCAAGGACACAGCCATAAGGGACAGGGTTGTAGGACCTCTCCACAACCTACCACAACTTAGCAGCTTTTCCAAGGCACTGGTTAGGAATACAGATGCCCAGGCCAGCAAATCACCAGGAGAGAGGCAAGAGTCCCTCCCAACATCAGCTCCTGGGCAGCAGCCCTTGTGCGAACCCTTCCCACGTTCATGCCCGATTCCATGGACACATGTACTGGCTCAGCATCCAGGTTATGGGGAGTCCACACCCTAAACACACAGGGCTGTGGCTGCTTGTTTCACCCTGGAGCTGCCATCCTCTACCTTGTTCTCCTTTCCTGCCCCCTACACACCCTCAGGTCCTGGTCCAAATCTTAGCTACTTAAACCTTTCTATGCCTCAGTTTCCCATTTGCAAAGTGGGAATGGTGGTTAAAAATCCATTCCATGGGCTGGAGAGATGGCTCAGTGGTCTAAAGCACCTACTTGAAACAAGCTTGGCAAAGCACAGGGACCGCGGTTCAATCCTCCAGCACCACATGCCAACCAGCCCCGCCCCCTGGTGGGCTGGGCTGGCCACAC